GGAGGAGGAGGAGGGCGACGAGGGCAACGAGGAAGGGGAGGAGGAGGAGAAGGAGGACGACGAGGGCCGCAAGGTAAGGGAGGAGGAGTAGGACGAGCGGGAGGAGAGGAGAAGCATGCAGAGGAGGCAGTGAGGAGGATGAAGGGGAGGTCGAGGCCGGTGATACTCACCGGGCGATGGCGGCAGCTCCTCCCTCACAAGGCAGCACGGTAGCACGGCAGCACTTCAGCACGGGGCGACACTTGAGAACGGTGGCAGCTCCTCCTTGAAATGGCAACGACACTCCTCGCTGGAATGGTAGTGGCCGACCAGAAACGTACCCAACAGGCCCAGCCAAGGCCACCCACACACAGTACAAAGTACTACAAACAGGTTTCGAAAATTCGAAACCTCACGGTCCGGCCTTGAGCGCGGGCCTAAAATTTTTTTTTGGCCTTGGCATCAATTTTGGCGGGGGGCCTCCAATGTGCCGTTTCGACCCCCGCCTTTTTTTTTGGGGGGGGGAGGGGGGGTTCGGGCCTTTCCCCGCACATCTCGTGCGCCGCACGGGAACAGTCGGGTGCGTGCGCGGAAGGTAGGGAAACTCGCGCATGACGTGCGCTTGCAAGTATGAGTAGTAGTAGTAGTAGTAGTAGTAGTAGTAGTAGTAGTAGTATTTGTAGTAGTTAACTGTATCTTGTTTGTGGCATAAATGAGGACCTGGGTCACTGTGTGTGTTTGTTTGTGGTTTCCGGCGAAGATGATCACTTTGTTTGCTCGGATATTTTTGTCCAACCATGCTTTTGATTGTTATCATGTGGTTATTGTATCTCACACAGTTTCATGCCGCTTCTGTGGGATTTTGTTGGTTGTCAATTACTCATTGTAGGTCAACCTGTCCTCCTCCTGTTATGCTGTGGCTGTCATTTGCGTTGCAGCTCGAGCAAGAGAAGATGCCATTCGGCTTGATACATCAGCAAAGGAGAATGTGGAACGACTCAGAAAGATTGCAATGGTTGGTTCTGGTATCCCTGATCATCAATTAATCCAATTTATCAAATCTATGATGTATCTAATCAGTCAATCCAATCAATCCAATCAATCCAATCAATCCAATCAGTCCAATCAGTCCAATCAATCAAATCAAGGCTATGTGGGAGGACTGACATTCCCTGATTTCTCCCAGGTGTCCTCCCTGCTTGCTTTGAGCAGTGACATGGGGTCTTCTATGTCCTTTCAGGTTTCGCTTCATGCCCTATGGGAGCATAATGGGTCTGCCATAGCCCTGTGCGATTAGGAGGAGGGAAGACCTCAGGAGGGGTGAGTCAGCAAAAGAGAGATCTTTGATCCAAGAGAGAGCGAAGTGGCGGAAAGGGGTCTCATCTGGGGAGGCAGGGGGGAACTGACAATGTGACATCATTTCAAATTGGGCTATTATGCTGGATTGTGTTGGATGATGTGATGTCTCACATGTGAGAACAGGCCAGGCCCATCAACTGTTGAAATTTGAAATACAGACCGGAGTTCGAATCCAGATAACGCCACATGACCGGAATAGAATCATTCTGGATTGCCAGGGGCCGGTCAGTTCAACGATGATATCCCAAGCCTGTCACCCTTTTTTTTTTTTTTTTTTTTTTTTTTAAGAACAGGCAAAGTGGGATGACGTGCTGGGATAACTCAGGTGGACATTGGACAATGGTGATGGAGAATAGACTAACAGCAAAAGAGAGATCTTTGAGCATCGAGAGAGCGAAATGGCCAAAAGGGTCTAAAGGGTCTCATCTTGGGAGGCAGGGGTGGGACCGTTGAACAGTGTGGCATCATTGGAAATTGTTCTATGCTGGATGATGTTTGACGATGTGGAAACAGTCTTGTTTGTTTGTTTTTTGTTTGTGCATGAATGGGACCATCAGGTTGGGCAATGTTGGACTGAGAATGAGAATGGAAAGTTGGAAACATAATATTATCATATTGGATAATGTTGGGTAATGTTGGATAATGTCCAACAATAATTTGCTACCGTCTTCACCCGAATAGAATGCCCGGTCATTATCGCTGCATCTAGAGTGAAAGTTGAGCCAAATGCCGATGTAATGACCAGGCGTTCTATTCGGGTGAAGACGTAGTATTGGCAAACGCTGTGCAATTCTGTTCGATAATGTAGGAGAATATAGTACCTATGTGAGAACTGTTCCCAACACTGTAAATGCTGAAATGTCTGATGAATGTCTCTCAAGTTCAAAACAAATGCAAGGTTGTGTGAATGTTGTATGGATAGTGGCGTGTTTGCAGATACGCTGAGTTAATTGCACACACTTGTGGAACAGGGTCTGGAGATGACTGCGAGGATGGAGCTCAGATCAGCCGCAACAGAGCACTGGAGCGATGGAGCACTTGAGGTGTTAGTCCGTCTGACCTCAGAATAGAGTCCAATCCTCCTCCTCCTCCTCCTTCTTCTTCTTCTTCTTCTTCTTCTTCTTCTTCTTCTTCTTCTTCTTCTTCTTCTTCTTCTTCGTCTTCTTCTTCTCCTCCGTCCTCCTCCTTCCACCTCCTGCTTCTTCTTCTTCTCTGTCCTCCTCCTCTTCCTCTACTTCTGCTTCTTCCCCCTCCTCCTCCCCCTCCTTCACACCATAAGTTGCGTTTGTGCTTGGTCACGCTCAGGGTTAGCTATCAGCGGGTACAATGATTGACAGTCCCGAGGAGAAAAATGAATTGATAAAACACGCCCAAGAGGCATAACCTGTTCTCAGATGTAAGTATCTATAAGTCATAACCCAAGGAGAAGAATGGATAAAACACGCCCAAGGTTTTGCAGGTGCTTTGACAAATTGACATGGCTTGTTTGTCATGTACTGTGCGCTGTTTGCTGCAGGCAGACTTACGCCTGGCAGATCTGCGCGCAAAGAGAAGGGCTATGGAGGATGCATACACAACAATCCAGGTGCGTTAGAGATATCTTTGTCACCCGGGAAACGGGCTTGAGAGCCATGGGGTTCTAGGGCTGAAATGTTTCGCTCAACAGGTTATTGAATCTCAAGCTCTCAATCTGTTTGTTTGAGATGTTTTCGGCTGTCAAAAATTCTCAAACATGTTCTGCTCTCACATGTGCATGTATGTCACTCATACATGCATGTCAATGTGGATGAGGGTTCTCAGCACAGGAGTGTGAAATCAGTCTAACCTACAACAAGTGTGCATGGTTTATTAATACTAGACAAGATGACTGTAAGCAGAGTGTGCACTGTGCACCCGCGTGCGTGTGCACACACTCCTCTCCCTCTCGCTCACCCTCTCTCTCACACACACAAACTACTACTTCGGTACATCCCTTTTTCTCTTTCTCTCATGCAAAGACAAACTCGCTTGTGTGCCGGTGTGTGCGTGCCCGTGTATCTCTCACATGCACAAGTCTTGCTCTTTGACACACACGCTTACACGCAAAACTACTAACGTTTGTCTCTCTAACACACACTGACTACTTACACTCGTTTTCTCTCACGCACACACGTGTGCATTGGGTGCACTCCTGTCTCTCTCTCTCTCTCTCACACACACACACACACACAAACATACACACTCTTAACTACTGATGTGCTTCTCTCTCTCATTCTCATATGTGTGTGTGTGTGTGAGCACGTGTTTCTGTGTGTTCACACGTGCATACGTGTGTGTGGGTCCGTGTGTGTGTGTTTGCATGTGTGAGCATGTGCATGCACGCACTCTTGCTGGCAGTGAGTGCCTGCACGGATGGAAGAGTTGGGAGGTGCTCACACACACACAAACATACACACTCTTAACTACTAATGTGCTTCTCTCTCTCATTCTCATATGTGTGTGTGTGTGACCACGCGTTTTTGCGTGTTCACACATGCACACGTGTGTGTGGGTTTGTGTGTGTGTGTTTGCATGTGTGAGCATGTGCATGCATGCACTCTTGCTGGCAGTGAGTGCCTGCATGCATGGAAGAGTTGGGAGGTGCTCTCTCTCTCTCTCTCTCTCTCTCTCTCTCTCTCTCTCTCTCTCTCTCTCTCTCTCTCTCTCTCTCTCTCTCTCT